TATTGGTGCTGTGATCGCGTGTGTTCTTCGTTTCGGTTGTTTGTGTGAAGGTTGTGTTGGTGCTGCTATTGGCATTGGCATTCGTATTCGCAGCGCCGTCGCCGTCTGTGCTGAACGCGGTATTTAAGCTGGCGCGTTTGGTCACATCGCCGCTGCAGCCTGCCTCATTTTCACCCTGCACCACGTTCGAGTCTGTTTGTGTGCAATTGTTGTAGAAGTTTTCAGCTTTCTTCGAGACGAAGTAGTCCAAGGTGCGCACTTGCGATTCTATCTTCTCATTTAGTTTCGTGTTGATTTCCTGGAGGCTATAGCAATCAACAAAATTAAATGTGCGAAAAACTTTTACATTCGTAAGCCACTTACCTTAACACCTGCGTCTCTAAATCCGCAATGTGAGTTTCGTATTTGGACTGCACCGAGTTGAAACGCGCCTGTACATTAGCGAGTATTTGTTGTGCTTTTAAATCTTGCTCCTTGGCGTCTGACTCCAGCTGCGCAATACGCTGCTCTAACAGTTTTCGACTGTTCACATTCTCCTGGTCATTATTCGCACATTTTCCGGGATTTTTGGAGGCGACTAAAAAGGAAGTAATGCGTTATATTAATTTTTTCTTATCAAACTATGTTCAACACGATTTTTCGGAACAAAATAATACTTATCCGCTCACCAATTAGTGCCGACACCGAGTCCGGATGTTTACGCATCAATATACGCTCCATTTCGCGGCATTGCCGGTGCAGATCTTGTATGGTTTTGCCATCTTTGTCCTTTAGCTCTTGCGCGCGCTTCTTCTCCTGCCTGCTCGACTCCAACTCACTTTGCAACGACTTTTGCAACTCAAGCGCCTCATTGCGATCTGCACGCGCCGTCTGCAATTCGGTTCGCAGTATGTTGGCACATTCATTCAGATGTTGTACATCTAATTTAAGCATTTCAGACTCCTCCTGTAGTTTGGTATTACTTTCGCGCAAATCGCGATGCAGCTGTGACAGCGAATCGTGTTGTATGCGCAGCGATTTCAGGCGTTCCTCTGTATCCTTTAACTTCTCCTGCAACTGCTCGATCTCCAGCTTGAGCGCATGCTCGCGGCCAACATTCGCCGCAAAAGGCTCTATCGGCGAAGTGAGCGCGGATACCAAGCGCTTTGGTGAAGAGTTTACTGACTTGTCGCAGTAGGTTTTGGCTGGTATTGGAGTGGAGATGGTCCGATGCGGACTGTAAGGGCCAGGCGTGCATGAATGTGAGGACTGAGTTTGGCTGATGCCGCTATCTGGCGTGGTCATCGAGGAGCGTTGTGCGGCGGCGGCAGCGCTGTAACCGCCTGAATTGCGACGTTCCAGCATGCTTGGGCTGTTATACTGCATGGCGCTAAAGTTGAATGTGCTGCGACGCGCCGGACTGCCTCCAACGCGTTGGGCATGAGATTGAGATGCATAGATGGCGCTGTGAGGCTGGGGTGCTGAAAGCGGCTGCTGTTGGTGCAGCTGTAACGGTGCATCACAACTAGGTCGTCGTGTCATCGCGTTTCCGCTGGCCAGTTCATTTTGATTTGCATTCATATGCGAAGCAGTATGAAACGACGTAGACATAGCTGATGGCGACGATGACACTGAGAAATGCCCCGTGTGAACGGTGGTTGTGCTGGTAGTGATGTTAGTGCGGCTATTTGTGGCGCTTCCTGCTGTATTAGCGCCCAAGGAACTACTTGTGCCATCTGCGCTTAGTGTATCGGCATCACCGTCTCCATCGCCATCGCCATCCGCGTGAGCGTCAGCATCAATATCAAAACTATCATCGTTATCGACTTCGTTGGTGAAGTTGTTCGTCGATACTTCATTTGCAGCATTCGACTCAACGGATTGTACATTGTTGACCTCTGCTGGCGACCCTGCATCATTTGGCATTAATTCAATGTTTTCAATGCATTCGGTGATTTCCTCTATCTGTGAACGAATAGAAGATGAAAACAAAGTTTGAATTGATAGCATAGATAAGAAGCAGCAATAAAAAAAAGAATATCTTCTATCTTCTATATATATAAAATTCAAATTATGTATGTACCTATAGACACACTTGGCTCCTAAACGAATAAGCCGATCGTAACCAAATTTTACACACGCACTGGATATCTTCCAGGGATGGTCACAGGGTAAAAAATATTTTGATATATAAAGGGGGCGTGGCCCCAAAACGTGGACCCGGGTAACCTTAGGATGTATTTGTTTAATATGG